CATACAATACCGTGTACTGACAAAGTTCCATACCCATACAATACCGTGTACTGACAAAGTTCCATACCCATACAATACCGTGAACTGACAAAGTTCCATACCCATACAATACCGTGTACTGACAAAGTTCCATACCCATACAATACCGTGTACTGACAATGAATGAGATCTAAATGTATATGTGTTCAAATAAAATACGTGTCTGATACTCGCTTATACTCATAGACGGAACATTTTGGCGTCAATGTTTGTTTTCTCTTACATGCAATACCCAGTTCACATTCTCCGGAATAGGAGCATTACAGATCGTAATGTAAACGCCGAAATATAGACATCAATACATACAGTTGTAATCAGTGTTCTTGTCACAATAAATTAACATATACAATGTATAAAGTAAAACAACACACAACAACGCATTGCAACAAGCCCAACTAAATCCATATGATGTAAATCAGTTTTATGTGTAGTATGAAAATAAAGTAAATATACAAATATAACTGGAGCTTGTCGTTTTGGTGAAGAAAAGATTAATTCAATAATTTTAATAAATAATTTTGGCACATTTCTTTGATATAATAAATAAATAAATAATTATCCTACAGATTGTGTATATGGAGTTATGTTCTCCTTGTTTGATGGGAGACGACAGCTTTCCCCTGTTTCCTGTTCTGTTTCCCTCTCCGTCCAGATCTGTTCCTATTTTTGAGCGGTTTCGATTTCTTCCTACAAGTTTTGGACTGTTTCGATTTCCTCCTACTACCCTTGCATCTTTTTGATGCTCGACGTGTCCGTTGGGTATCTGCCTTTCCCTCAAAATACTGGAGAGCATGTTTAAGAAACTTATTTAAATTCTTAATTATAGTGACAGGCTGGTATATTGAACAGGTGTTGGTTTCCTTCATAGTAACATCTTCGTACTTTCTTGTTACTTTCTTTGCTATGTTTCGTATTTTCTTTTTGCTCTTTAGTTTGGTGTAAGCTAAACACAGAATATCACACATTGGCATGGCGAGTTTCAAACTCATTTCAGAATGTTTGTGTGTGGCTGCTGTTTTATCAACAAGCAAAAGATAGGATGCGAGGTCCTGGTAGAATTTCTTCAGTGTGGCCTGTAAATGAATAACAGTCAACATCAAATAGCAGAACAATGTATGTATTGTTATAATGTATGTATGTATATAAGTATATAATCACAATCTTATAGCATTTGCCTTAATCGATAACCAGCTTAACTATCGATCATTTCATATATATATAGGTGGAATAAATATATAAGTATGATATATGTATACGGTGCTTTTTCATCAACAATGCGTAATAAAGTTGTTCTTTATCGGAAAAAGTAATATATCCCGTTTTTCATTTGCTTGTGTGAATGTAGTTGGTTCATGATGTCCAATGAACAGATTGTATGTCGATATCAAGTTCTGTTTTTGTCTTGGTGTGTCGACACATTGGTATATTTGTCTTTGTGTGTCAACAGTGGTATATTTGTCTTTGTGTGTCAACAGTGGTATATGTGTATTTGTGTGTCGACACTGCGGAATATTTGTCTGTGTGTGTCAACAGTGGTATATTTGTCTGTGTGTGTCAACAGTGGTATATGTGTATTTGTGTGTCGACACTGCGGAATATTTGTCGCTGTGTGTCGACACTGTGATATATTTTGTTACTGTGAGTTGACACAAGGGTATATTTTTTTTTCTAATGTGTTGAAGTGTGGTATATTGTATTTTTGTGTTGATGATGTGGTATATTGTATTTTTGTGTTGATGATGTGGTATATTGTGTTTTTGTGTGTTGAAGTGTGGTATATTGTGTTTTTGTGTTGATGATATGGTATATAGTGTTTTTGTATTGATGTTGTGGTATATTGTGTTTTTGTGTGTTGATGATGTGGTATATTGTGTTTTTGTGTTGAAGTGTGGTATATTGGGTTTTTGTGTTGATGATGTGGTATATTGTGTATTTGTATTGATGATGTGGTATATTGTATTTTTGTGTATATTGCGTATTTGTGTTGATGTTGTCATATTGTGTTTTTGTGTGTTGAAGTGTGGTTTATTGTGTTTTTGTGTTGATGATGTGGTATATTGTTTGTTTGTGTGTTGAAGTGGTATATTGTGTTTTTGTGTTGATGTTGTGGCATATTGTTTGTTTGTGTGTTGATGTTGTGGCATATTGTTTGTTTGTGTGTTGAAGTGGTATATTGTGTTTTTGTGTTGATGTTGTGGTATATTGTGTGTTTGTGTTGATGTTGTGGTATATTTAACAACTAATCCTTTGCATCACAATTATATTGTGTTCATATCCGGATTGACCCTATATAAAAAGTGCATGAGTACGCGTGCCTTCATGTCACGTACACAAAGTCGGTTAATGGGTCATTTCCTTGAAAACCTTTACGTAAATTAATTGATCGTTAGTTTGATTTTCAGATTTAAACCAATTTAACATCAGTGATTCATTCTCATGTAAGATATTTAATCACTTCTAAAAGATAAAGTTATGAGTATATATTAATGAGACTATAACATACCTTATATAACACTACATTTCCCAACAAAAACAAGGATAACATTCTTTAGCGGGGTGACAAGGCTTTCCCTTCAACTCGGAAGGTGTCTGTTAAATGATTATACTTTTAAAACTTACCTGAACGCGAGATTTAGGTTTGAGGCGGAGGGGGAGTCGGGGGAGAGGACATTCCGACTCCGATCCTGGTAACTGTTCCGTTCCGGCGACGTCCATCTGAAATAATAGCAACATAAGGAGTGTATAAACTATTGTGCATAAGGAATATGTGTGTATTACTTCAGACAATCTTGCCCGGATGTTACCCACGTTGTACAGGTAATGGTAAACAAGGAGCCAACTGCTAGCGTGGACGGGGGAAATACGCTTCAAGTTTAAAGCATTTTCATTCAAACGAGATTACATAATATGCAAATCAATGCAACACAAACGGAAACTAAATATAAGCAATACTAACTATACTTAGGCACGTAGCAAGTCAATCTTCCCCAGTTCAAAACATTTTAATGAAGATACGTGATACTTTTGTGCGAAAGTTTCTGTTTGTTAGATGATAATATCCTTTTAAAGTTTTGCATGCCACTTAATAATGTAGATTTAATTTTTTCGTTACGTCAGGGGTATAGAAAAAGAAATGTACTTCGTCTTCTTTGTGTTCGATGAATGGTGCACTCTGGTACAAATTTAAACTAAATTCACAACGTAAACCTGTCTGTATAACTTAATGTTGATGTACAGTATCAAGTAATAGCGCTACGCACTCGTGAACGTGAGGAGGCGTCACTCCATGAACTGAGGGGGTATGGTATACCTAATATAAGCTCACACTTAATTAGGACTACATATACCATTCGTAAGGAGAATAAAACTAGAGCAGGCAAATGGTTGGTTCCTAATGTCTATGTGAACAGGACGGGTAATCAATACATTATATATCATGTGGCATATCATTGTCTCCTTGATCAGAAAACATTTTTATTGGTAATTCAAAAACAATAGGACATATGCATGTAATATAATGTGTAAATGCTGTCCATCTGTTTGTGAACTTTCGTTGTAACAGTAGTACACAAATGTATATAAGTACTTACCAACTTGTTAACGAGATAATCCGACTTGACCCTGGTGTGCAGTTTCTTTACCTGGGACTGGATAGAGACGGAGGTATTCCCGTGATCGCATGGTATGGCGATGTTACATGATTGGGAGACGATTGTCGTGGCAATAGCTTGGACGATGCACGAGTCTTTAAAAAACCATACAGAAAATGTTACCGTCAGGAGATAATATTGTAATGTAAAAAGGACAAAATTAATCTGTGTTGCGCAGTCAGTTGGACGACACAACGGGAACATCTAAACAGGCACCAGATAATACTCCGGGCTACTTTCATAAAATATAATCGAAACTGATTTTATAGCATTAGAAAGGGAAACAGTTAATATAATGAGGACTTAACGTTGCCCCCCTCCCTTCATTTTCTGTCCGTTACTGTGTAGGTAACAGTCGTTTGCTGTGTAAAAACATTTCGAACAATGTGTTTGTTCGTTAACTATACAACCACACACTATAATTAACATTGTGTTTGTTCGTTAACTATACAAACACACACTATAATTAACAAAACGTTTGTTCGTTAACTATACAAACACACACTATAATTAACAAAACGTTTGTTCGTTAACTATACATCCACACACTATAATTGATGAAAAGCTGTCAATGCCTATAGTGCTATCAGGCTGTACAACCACACACTATAATTGATGAAAAGCTGTCAATTCCTATAGTGCTATCTCGTTAACTGTACAACCACACACTATAATTAACAACGTGTTTGTTCGTTAACTATACAACCACACACTATAATTAACAATGTGTTTGTTCGTTAACTGTACAACCACACACTATAATTAACAATGTTTTTTTCGTTAACTGTACATCCACACACTATAATTGATGAAAAGCTGTCAATGTCTATAATGCTATCTGGCTGTACAACCACACTCTATAATTGATGAAAAGCTGTCAATTCCTATAGTGCTATCTCGTTAACTGTACAACCACACACTATAATTAACAATGTGTTTGTTCGTTAACTATCCAACCACACACTATAATTAACAATGTTTTTTACGTTAACTGTACATCCACACACTAGAATTGATGAAAAGCTGTCAATGCCTCTCGTGCTATCTGGCTGTACAACCACACACAGAATTGATGAAAAGCTGTCAATGCCTATATTGCTATCAGGCTGTACAACCACACACTATAATTAACATTCTGTTTGTTCGTTAACTATACAACCACACGCTATAATTAACATTGTGTTTGTTCGTTAACTATACAACCACACGCTATAATTAACATTGTGTTTGTTCGTTAACTATACAACCACACGCTATAATTAACATTGTGTTTGTTCGTTAACTATACAACCACACAGTATAATTAACATTGTGTTTGTTCGTTAACTATACAACCACACGCTATAATTAACATTGTGTTTGTTCGTTAACTATACAACCACACGCTATAATTAACATTGTGTTTGTTCGTTAACTATACAACCACACGCTATAATTAACATTGTGTTTGTTCGTTAACTATACAACCACACGCTATAATTAACATTGTGTTTGTTCGTTAACTATACAACCACACGCTATAATTAACATTGTGTTTGTTCGTTAACTATACAACCACACAGTATAATTAACATTGTGTTTGTTCGTTAACTATACAACCACACAATATAATTAACATTGTGTTTGTTCGTTAACTATACAACCACACACTATAATTAATGAAAAGCTGTCAATGCCTATATTGCTATCAGGCTGTACAACCACACACTATAATTGATAAAAAGCTGTCAATGCCTATAGTGCTATCTCGTTAACTGTACAACCACACACCATAATTAACAATGTTTTTTTCGTTAACTGTACATCCACACACTATATTTGATGAAAAGCTGTCAATGTCTAAAGTGCTATCTGGCTGTACAATCACACACTATATTTGATGAAAAGCTGTCAATGTCTAAAGTGCTATCTGGCTGTACAATCACACACTATATTTGATGAAAAGCTGTCAATGTCTAAAGTGCTATCTGGCTGTACAATCACACACTATAATTGATGAAAAGCTGTCAATGTCTATAGTTCTATCTGGCTGTACAACCACCCACTATAATTGATGAAAAGCTGTCAATGCCTCTCGTGCTATCTGGCTGTACAACCACACTCTATAATTGATGAAAAGCTGTCAATACCTATAGTGCTATCTGGCTGTACAACCACACCCATAATTGATGAAAAGCTGTCAATGCCTATACTGCTATCTGGCTGTACAACCACACCCATAATTGATGAAAAGCTGTCAATTCCTATAGTGCTATCTGGCTGTACAATCACACACTATAATTGATGAAAAGCTGTCAATACCTATAGTGCTATCTGGCTGTACAACCCCACACTATAATTGATGAAAAGCTAACAATGCCTAGAGTGCTGTCAGTCTGTACAACCACACACTATAATTAATGAAAAGCTGTCAATGCCTCTCGTGCTATCTGGCTGTACAACCACACCCATAATTGATGAAAAGCTGTCAATGATACAACCACACACTATAATTAACAATGTTTTTTTCGTTAACTGTACATCCACACACTATAATTGATGAAAAGCTGTCAATGTCTATAGTGCTATCAGGCACCCTATAGTTCTAGCAGGCACCCTATAGTGCTATTAGGCACTCTATAGTGCTATTAGGCACCCTTTAGTGCTATCAGGCACTCTATAGTGCTATCAGGCACCCTATAGTGTTATCAGGCACTATCATAACGATTTAACGAGCACAAGTTCAGAGAATGATCGACCTACCATTTAAAATATCGAAAACAAAGAAGAACAAAAAAAACAATTGCAACTGTTCTATGCTGTTCTCTTTCTTCACGTCTGGTTCGTGAAAGCAGGAATAATTAAATAATCTAAGTCAACGAGGCATCATCGTGGTATGTGTCTGACGTTGTCTAAGCTATAGTTTACTTTCAACATTAATCGTTAAATTATGATGCAAAAAACAAAGCGAGTATTAAAAATGGCATTAAACGTATGCTAACTTATTGAGTCAATGGCATTGCCACCTATTTTTTGTTCGCTACCCAATTTAAAAAGTTTCGGCCGAGATAAGTATCTATATTTGAACGCTGCTCTAAAACATTGAAACATCTTATATGTCATTTTTAATTGGTACCTAGCTTGTAAAAATCTGTTATGTGTAATGCAATGATAATTATAAGTACAAGACAAATTTTAACGGTTTTCAAAAGCTTAGAAAACATGAAATTGTTTCTCAAATTTGGCGCTTTAACTTTTAAATCAATTCTAAAATAGATAATTTTGTTACAAGCCAGCATTCTGAAGCAGATGCAAAGTGACTATTTTTGTCAAGACTTTTGTAAATTACAAAATGAGACAATACACTATTATCATCTACATATTGATAGTTTATAATTTTTCATAATTAGAGAATAAAAACCTGAAATAGATTGATTAAGCCAGTAAGCACGAACATACTTACACACTGTCAAACGTAACTGAAGACTTAGTGTCATTGTCAGAGCAGTGTTTGGAGAGGTTTGTATAAAAGTTAGAATTTTGCCCCATTTTAAATGATATTTTAAGGATTTCCCTTAGTAGGGAATTCGTTAAATTCCCTCGTTGACGGAACTGTAGTATGAAGGGGCGAAAAATCCAGGCGAGTGATCTGCCCCCGCCAACATCATGTATTATACCTTTTAGGAAAAGGTTGTTTTTTTAACCCGGACGAGCATTCCTCGGTTAAATTATACACAGTCAAAGTCATTCATAAACTATGTTACGTCGGGTAAGAGAACAGGAACTATTTCATATTTGATTTTACGATATATTTTTAGCTATCTAAATATAAAACTAGGATTTTTTTAGGGATATTAAATCCGTAGCTATATCTTAAAAATGACTAAAACGATGAGTATAGTTATGTATATAGCCTTTTATTTAATTTGCAATAGGCAACAATGCCTTTGTGCTTTAAACACATTTAAACATGACAATGACATAATGGCAATAATAAATACATATTTACATGAAATGTGTTAATAGTATTGCGGTACGGTTAATAGAGAAGTAATACAATTCAATCAACTGATACACTATACTTTAACATTTACAGTCATAATATGTAAGTTTTTAATTGTAAAGCAATATATCTTACTTTTTTCTTCAAAGTTATTAAAATCCTTTTGATAACCAATCTATTAAAAATGCATG